TTTATCCGGATGCTCAACTGGATACTAGATGACAAAAGAAACATAATTACTTTAATCTTATAGTTGTAATATTTATTTAGTATTTAATTAACATTTTACTTACCTGTACCAATTCCTGTAATTCCATTTTAACATTATGTAAACCTCCGATATCATCCCATGTAACAGTTGGAACTTCGACAATAGTTTCTCGCAAAGCACTTGGACTACTTTTAGTCATAGCATACTAAAATAAACATATAATATTATTTATACAAGATGATACATTTATGAATTTAATTTAATCTCTTTGACACGATGATGTTTACAGTTATCTACAATTTTTTATAGGAATTTTTCAATTATTATATCACTAATGCTATTAATTTCAAATTAATTTTCAAAAACTACTATTTTTGAAGAATTTTAAAGCTAAAAAATTGAAGACAAATTTGTTTTCTCATTTCAATGACCAGTTTAGTCCTAGTAACTAGCATATCAATAAATTTATGAACATTAATTTATCATTGTAATCTGAAAATTAATCTATCATCTACTGACTCCGAAAAATTAAAGAAATAATTATACATGATTCTTTTTTAATAGAATTGCAAAAAAAAATTATTATATAAAATGTTAAAATATGTAAACATACATCGCATATCAATTAAGTTAAAATTTTATATATTACATATTAGATAATTACCTTGAAGTTATCCATTGTAACAGCAAGAGAAGATAAAACTTCAGCATCTATGTGTTCTTCCTCCAAATCAATAAGATCCATTTTTTCACGAATTTGTTGTAATGCTGCTTCAGAACATAATGAAGCTAAATCAGCTCCAACATGCCCATGTGTTTCCGCTGCAATCTAAATGATTGCATTAATTCAATAAATACTATTAAAATTAATAATTTAATAACTTCAAACTTAATTATATAAACCTCTTCTAATTCAACATCGTCTGCAAGTTTCATATTTTTTGTGTGAATACGTAAAATTTCTAAACGACCAGTGGCATCAGGTATTCCAATATCAATTTCTTTATCAAAACGACCAAAGCGACGCAATGCAGGATCAATGCTGTTAGGTCGATTGGTAGCAGCCATTACAATAACGTGAGAACTTTGTTTCATACCATCCATTAAAGTTAACAGCTGAGACACTATACGTCTTTCTACCTCTCCATGAGTCTAAATTGAAAATAATATATCAATCTTAGAAGCAATTTATAAGTATATAAAATAGAATGGTTAATAGAAACCTTTTCTCTTTTAGGAGCAATAGCATCAAGCTCATCAATGAAAATTATAGCTGGTGAATTTTTTTCAGCTTCTTCAAATGCTTTTCTTAAATTACTTTCTGATTCTCCCGCAAGTTTACTCATAATTTCAGGACCTTTTAATATAACAGATTAAGTAACATTTTAAAATAAAATAAAATATTATTTGAGAAGTGTTAGTTGAAAATTAACGTACCATTGATAAGAAAGAAAAATGCTCCTGTTTCATTGGCAACAGCACGGGCGATAAGAGTTTTTCCTGTGCCTGGTGGGCCATATAAAAGAATACCACGAGGTGGTTTAACTCCAATAACTTTAAACAAAGATGGATGTCTTAACGGTAACTCTACCATTTCTTTAATTTGAGCTAACTGTTTACGAACACCACCAATATCATCATAACCTACTGCATTTAATGCCTCTTCTTCCTCCTACAATAATTTCATATATTCATGTAACAATATAAATAAATAAATAATAAATAGAAAAATTACACCTGACTAACCTCCCTCTTAATAGCATCACCTTCACAATGAATAATTGTATCAGGAGCTACGATACAAAATGGTCCAGGATCTGTTTCTACTACTTTAAATTCTACAACACGCATACCACCGCGTACAATAAAGTTATCATCTTTATGAACAGGACGATAAGCTTCCAGGAAATATGGTTTCAAATATACTTCAAATAAGTTTCTACAATAAAAAAATAAATTACATTTTATAAATAAATTTTATATTTACTTAAAAAGCAATAATAATTAATTAAAATAATATTAAATTATAATATACTATTATAATATTAATATTAAGAATTAATAACATAATAACAAATAACAAAACATATTTCTATAATAACAAGTCTAAAATATAGATATATTTTTTAATTAAAATAAATGTTGAATTATATATAATCTTTAAACTACAAAATAATTTGTACTGATTTATATTACAAAAATAATTTGTATTAACATTTATACGTTAATGCAATTAAATTAATCTTATGATAATGTATCCATCTTCATTATATATTGTCTTACTTGTTTTATATTAGTTGAAACTTATATATTTGTCTCATACTTGTTTTATATTAATTGAAAATGAAAATAAAATAATACATATTTTATAATATATCTAATAAAAATAAAAAAATATTTAAATGTAAAATACAAAGTATGTGAATTGACAGATAGGCTACAATATAATTACTTTATTACAAGTATGGAGAATTATTTATATATTGTATATTATAAAACTCTTTTATAAAAAAAACATATTTTTAGACATCTCTTACAATACATATATACATTCAATGCTCTTTACTTTTATCATAATATTGAATTTTAAATTATTTTAATAATTAATTTTTCAAATTAGAGAAAAATAAAAAGTAAAAATGATTATATCTTGCCCATATCTATACTTCAGTTTGTTAAATTTATAACATTAATTATTTTTACAATCAACATTTAATATCAAAAAATAATAAAGTATATGTATGTTTACTTTTATCTCAAACTGTTCATTATTGCTTTATATATAATTTATATATAATTATTTTATGAATCTTAAATATTAATTAAAAAGATACGTATTTAATAGAAATGTTGAAAACATATTATATATTTATAAAATACTAATGAGTAAATAATAAAATAATACAGGAAATCAAATTTCATTCAATAAAATTAATGTGATATTTGATGAGTAGCTGAAATTTAAATTTAAAATATAAGAAAAATTCTTAAAATATAAATAAATAATCACTTTAGTTTCCCAAAAAAAAAAAAAAAAAAACCATTGATTTACCCTGTAAGACCAGTTACTGTATCATCCATTGGCAGTACATGAATGCGTTTTCCATATTTAACTTCTGGACATGCTTGTACAGAGACAACATCACTTAGACGTACACGCAAGTTATTTCTTATAACACGGTTCATACGAATTTTTTCATCAGGGCATGTATCATCGGAAAGAACAATACACACAGTTTCTTTGCGTCTTTTTCCTTTCAATAATACTGTATCTCCTCGGAAAAGTTGCAATTCATCCATTTTTGCTTGAGAAAGAGCCACAACAGAATTGTCATCTGCAATAGCTTCATCCACTAATAATCTATTTGGCTTGTCCTTCTTTCGAAGGATTGCTGTTGCCAAATCTTCGCTGTTATAACATAATGCATTCAAATTAATTTGAATAAAGAAATATCAATAACTAGATGAAATATAATAATGTTAATAAATAAAAGATAATTTATAATATAAACATAATAATTTCAATATAACTAATCAGAATAATTTTCTTAAGTTGTAACATATTTTATGTTATTGTTACTTTATAATAAAGTATAACATAAATTATTGTTATATATTTATACGAATTGTTATTATGTGTAAAATATTAATTTCTGTACTGTATAAAATTGAATGATATTACTTCAACATATTTTTCCCTCAAAAACTCAAAAGAGTTTATGTTATTTATTCTATATACAATAGATATTTAAAATAATTTAGTAAACTCATAAAATATAAATTTTTGAATTTTTCAATTACAATGTGACTCAAATTATACATAATGATCGTATAAAATATATCTAATTCACATCAACATTTGTTATCAAATAATACAAGTTAATGTAATTTAATTTTTAAAACCAAACATGCGATTTATACAGAGTTTGTTATCATAAGTGTTATACTGTAAAACTAAATACAAATAAAATTACGTAGCTTTACTTCCATTGAAATTTTTTTCATAAGATCGAGAAATATTACAGTAAAAAATAAATATCAATATCAGCAAAATTCCTTTGTCATGTTCGATATAGTATTCGGCCATGAACAGTCGGTATACAAAAATGATAAGCGCGATTTATGTCATCACGAATCATTATCGTGAACAAAATAACAATTTGCAAAGAATGATTGATTTTCACAAAATAAAATTTAATAAATGCCATTTATTTTCATAGGAATCTATAAAAAGACGCGTTGCGTCGACATGATGACAACGTAAAATTGGAAGCCAGCATGGATACAATTTATTTGCATACATCACTGTTTTCAACATTGAAATGTTGAAATTAAATTATTATAAATGTTAAACGCTTTTTCTGTTACATTTGTTTACCTTTTTGGTTCGCTCATTATGCTTCTGATTTCAACGCAAAAGAAAATGCACACGCAACGATCAGAACTCAGTATCGCACACGTACAAGTCAGCAACACCTATAGTCGATCCAATGAACATTCTCATTTGAACTTTCATGGCTTGCATTGGACTCCCCCATTGTAGTCAAAAACTAAAGGAGAATTTACAATAAACTCGTCAACTTTACGTTACGTATTATTTTCGAAGGTTTTATTGGTTACGAATATTTTTAAATTATTATTAATAATTTTAATTTTCAATTTTAGCCATAGTTTGGTATTTTTTCATTCCTAGAAATTCTAGGAAAAATTTCAACGTTACGTTATATTATTTGCTTTAAAATATGTAAAATATAAACGAATTATTGAATGCCATTAGTTTTTATTAATTAAAAAGAACTTTTTATAATATTTTATAAATACTTTTTGCTTTTTTTTCAATCTTAGTGCAACATTTTTGAATATACCAGTATTACTAAATAATATTAATTCAAAATATAATTTGAAGTATTAAATGGGTTATAATATTCGTAATAAATGTTTATATTCGTAAAAAATATTTATCCTCTCTCTTTTTTAAATATTTATTAGATAATCTGTCAGTATTTAGTTTTGAAAGTATGTTAGACTTTAAATAGCTTACGTCACGACTCACGACATTCTCAAAGTGAGAATACGATAAATATACTTAGTTGTCAAATCGGTCTATGATGGCTGGAATTAAAGGTTATTCGGCATATATTTTTGATCACATGTCACATAATTACACAAACTTTTATTATAAAATCTAAAACCATGATATTGCCGATGAAAGTTCAATGAAAAAGCTGAATTAAAAAATGATACGTCCAAACATAACCTTACTTATTATCATCGCTGTCAAATTTTTATATACAAATGATGCGTGTTTATTAACTTATTTTGTAAACATATACATGTATATTTCATTTATCTTTTTATATGATATTAATTTAATGCATTTATTTTTATTAGTTGTAGATATAAATATGTATATGCGTTCAAATTTATTAATTAATGTTTTTTATATTGAATGTTTATAAAAATGTAAATTTTTTTTAAGCATTTGAATACAAGTTTAACAAGATATGAGAAGTATTGTTTTAAATTTTACATAAAAGGAAGAAATTAATAATATTTGTTATTGCAAATTAATTATTTTTAAATATACATGTTTTTTATATTCAATTTTTCAAATATTTGTTTGAAGTCTTCTTTCTCGTAACGATCACATTTTACACTTTGATCTTGATTATGTATATAAATTATTTTATAATGAAATTATTAATCATATTATTCCAAATCAGAAAATGTATAAAGTATTGTATTGAGCATAATTATTATAATTATTTATAATATAAAAGTTATATTAAATAATTTAAATTGTTTTTGATTTGTTCCATGCTATTAATGGTCTTCATTAATAAACAGCGTAAGTACTTTAAAATAAAATTTATATACAATTTTTTCTTAAGGCAAGTTTCAGCCAAACATTCTTTTATAGATTAGTACTTTTGGCATTTGGTGGGTCTATTGGTATGACATTTGTTATACTTGGTTGTGCTTTACCTGCATATAAGTAAGTATTATTGACATATAATTATTCATTTTTCATTCTATAGTGTTATATTTTGATATTATTATTTACTTATTATTGTATTGTATAAATTGATAATACATATAAATTATACTTATAATACTATTATACTATACCTATAAATACTATTACAAATTATAATATGAATACATGTACTAATTTTACATATAATATTTTGTTTTTAGAGTATGGTGGCCATTTTTTGTCGTACTATTTTATGTATTAGCACCAGTTCCAACTATAATTGCACGTCGCTATGCAAATGATTTTGAAAATAATTCCAATCCATGTTTGGAGCTGGCAATATTCATTACTACAGGCTTTGTTATATCATCATTTGCTCTTCCTATTGTCTTAGCTCGATCCCCAGTTAACGATCCAGTGGTATATTTATATGCATATTTTATTATTATTATTATATTATATTAAATAAACAATTCACTAATATAAAAAATAATATATATGTATTATGAATTTTCAGATACAGTGGGGTGCTTGTTATTTGACTTTAGCAGGTAATATTATTATGTATCTAACTCTAGTCGGATTTTTCGTAACCTTCGATCAGGATGAACTCGAGTATAATACATGTTGAAATGCTGTACTTCATTGTACTTATTTATTAATTTTACATGGTAATATTTTAGATTTATATCGTACTACTTTCAGTTTGTTTCTTATTCTTTGTAATATATAATCTGAACACTTTTAGGTTTTTTCAAAATAAAAGGAAGAATATACTGCACTGACTGACAGTTATGTGTTGATTCTAAGTCATTGCAAAATTTATAGTATATTACTTATACGATATACATATTATCATAAAGCATATTATCGTTTAAAACACAATGGATACTAATACTGGATACTAATTAATACTAAAGTCAATGATGATTTATTTTGCTATTTTTATCCTGTAATCAAACTTCAGATTCTAAAATTTAACATTTTTACGAACTTTTTTGGATAAAGTTACAAACACAAAATTTAATATTTATATTTATTGAATTTAAGTTCTTGAAAGCAATATTAATAAATACAATTTTTTACATTACTTCATATTTTATATTATTTTTATAAATGAATAATTATGAATAAAAAATTGTAAGTTAATTTATTACAATGTTCTACAAATGTTTTATATACTAATATGGTAGGTTTTATAAAGGAAATAAATAAAAATTTTCATAACTATTATATAGAAATTGTTAAAAAATAATTGTATTAAAAGAAAATACTAATGAATATTACTGAATAATACACATTGTCTGTGTGGTAAGAATTAGATAATTTATAATAAACTAATTTTTACTCTTATACGTAATAATTATCAAATGTACATAATTAAATTTCTTTCCAGTTTTAAGTATTCTTTCCAAATAGTATGTACAGCATTTACAATATTTACATAAATGCTATTTTTAAAAATTATTTTATAAATAAATATAATTTTTAACTTAAAATAAGTGCAGTGATTATTTAAAATTACATAAAATATTGTATTTATATTTTATACAATTTTATTTCATAAATATTTCTAAAAATTTATTATTTTTAATTTCCATAGCGATATAATATTATCATTTATTAGTTAATCATAAACCTGTTATTTATCCTTAGATATAACCTATTTGATATTATGTTTTTAAATATAATGCAGAAATAAGTATAAAAGATTAAAAAAAAAGTAAGGATTAAAGAACAGAATGTCAAAGTATAAGAAATAATCATATATTTCACAAAAAAATTTCAAATCTCCAAAAATGCGTCATTATTAATCCATAAAATTAACATTAATTCGAAATTCACTAATTTTAAAAGTTTTCCATAGAAATAGGTTGATTAACCTGGAGTTAATTAAAATAATGCTTTTAAAATATATTTTTTATAATATTTATACAACTAATGCATTTGTTTGTATTTTTATGAAAATTGTCAGATAATAGTTTATTGCTTCAAAAATAATATTTACAATTCATTATATATTAACTTACCTAGGAGAATAATAATTGATAAATAATACAGTGTAATATATTTATCACATTGTGGATTTCTTTGTAAATTTATATCTCTGAAAATATAATGTAAAAATTGGAATCTTAATAGAAAATTATTTTATTTTTTCAATTTTAAATATCTTCTAAGTTCATCTTTGTTGAAGTTATTTTATATATAATAAAATTGTTTATACTTTCTCATATATTGTCAATATTATCTTTCTAAAAAAAATGACCAAACTTTATTTATTTTATACTTGTTTATACAATTCTTATTCGAATAATTCATATAGCAGTAATTTTAAAATAATTCTAATATTTACTATGAATGTATATGTGTATGTAACTTATTATTGTTACTATGGTAACCTTTTTAACACTTTCATCATCTACAAAATAGTAAACGCATCTGACATACATTTGTTCTAATGAAGGTAATATACTCAAAAAACAACAATTATGTGATGTATTTCCTAGTAAAATTTATATGTAATATAATACGATAGATAAATATCATAAGTTTATTACAATTATGAATTATCTTTTTATAATTTTGTATTATTAATGATACAGTATATTCTATGTGTAATTTTTATTTACTTCTGTCAACGTGGGTAATTAACAACTTATTTAGGTTAAATTTTTATATTTATTTTATATTAACATTAGAGATAGTGTCTTTTAAAATTGAATTTTTAAAAAAATTCACTTTTTTAAAGTGAGATTAATGAAATATTATGAAATTATTAATGAAATTTTATTTGAGATTGCAAAGCTCTAACATATATATTATATATGCATTTAGACATTTAGTAATTAGAAAGTGAGAAGACAGAAGCAGTCTAATAACAATTTTTAAGAATCATGGAGAGTTATGTTACATAAAATTATTTATGAATAAAATTTTGTTATATGTTTGTATAATTATACTAACATGTTTATATTAATAATACATTATAGAAAAAGTTTGAAATGTTAAAATACAATGATTACAATATAATCTGTTTATTTTTTTAACAGAAATTTACTAATTCATCAATAGAATATATAAAAAAATATAAAAATGAACAAAATGTAAACTCTTTATCAAGTAATATAATTAGTTTGAAAGATTTGGCAGATGGCACATGGCTATGGAGGAAAAACCAAAAGACTCAAATACATAAAAAATGTAAAAATAAAATGTTGAAGAGACAAAAACAAAAGCAAGAAAACAAAATGATAACAAAGGAAAAGGTAACACATGAGTTTTATATTATATGAATTGCAAACGTTTGTCTTTACGTAAGAATATTTTAGATATGGAATGGACATTTCGTAAATGTAATGATACAAACATGTACATATAAAATAAGTAATAATATTAGCAAAAACTCTACATTTATATGAGTTGTACAGAATAAATTATATTTCATATTTAAGAAAAATCAATTTTATATTTATTTAAAAGCTGAAAAATTTTAATGAAGTTTATACTATATAACAAAAAATATTCTTTTTCTGAATCATTTTTTGTAAATTTCCTGAATATATAAATATTTTTGAAAATGTAATTGATTTTTTTTTTAAGTATGTATAATATATAATTTAAATTCATGTGGTACATATGTACTTTTGACTCATTTTCATATTTTTAAAAAGATGAATGAAAACGTTCAGTTTCGAAAATAAACTAATGTCAATATGTATTAAAATTTTGACAACATAGACGAGGTATACTATAGATTTGCCACCTTATGGAACATGTTTTGAAATACCGATCGTGTAAAAGATTGAAGGAAAAGAGAAGGTCTATGTTGGAGGTTTTGTTACGCGCTCTGAGATTCAATTCAATTATTCAATCATTGATTCAATAAGTTACGAAAATTGATAAAATCAATGATATAATATTTGTAATATAATTTTTAGAATTACGAATACGAATAAGCTATAGGAAAATGAATTTTATAAATTATATATTTTGCAAGAGTTTGATAAAAAGATTCATTCGGTGATTTTTCAGGTATTTTTATATTTTGCAGAAATCTTGTACAAAATGCAGAAAAACATATTAAAAGTTAAAGGATTACAGAACAAATATCAGTTAATTATTGAAATTTGAAAATTTGAAAATTTGAAAAAAACATTCAATGCAATTTGATGAACTGAAAATATAACATTATAGAATTATATTTACAGATGTTTCAAATAATTGAAGCTGAAATTCCGAAATCAATAGAGGAGAAAGTAGAGGGTATATTGATTGAAACTAATAAGAAACAAATGGAATCTATTAAGCAAGAAGATCATAAACCAATATATTTTAAAAATCATTGTGTCAGTGATAATGATTTAGATTATTATGATAATATCCACCTTAAAGAAGCAAGAAAACGTATTATTGGAAGATTACGAAAATTAGAAGAGTTAATTTAACAAAATTTTAATTACTACATTTGTTTTTATACACATTGATGATTTTTGATAAAAAAATTTTTATTTACAGTTTTAATGAACTAGTAATGGAGTTGGAAATAGAAATTATCGACACTTATAAACAATTTCTTATAAGACCTTTGCTTGAGGAGCATCCATTAATAATACGCGCGCCTGTTCCATGGCATCAATATAAATTAACTGCAACTCATTTTATGCATTATAATTTATTTATTGGAAATGAAATATTGAGAAATATTCAAAGTTTATATTTTAATAAGTAAGAGTTGCAAATCGACAATTTTTATTTAATTTGTATTTCTAGCGCATATAATGAAAAACAATAATAAAAGAAATTTATTTCTTGTCGGCAAGATATTTGCGAACAAAATTCAGTTTGTTATCAAAAATTCATTAATTATTAATTAGTAAAATCGGTAAAATAAAATCAAATATGAAATTTGGAAATCAATGTGCTAATTAATAATTAATAATCGATAAAACTTATTGATTAAAATTCTTTTCAAAGAATATGAAATTTGAGAATGAGTATTAAGTAATAATTAATAATTGATAAACTTTATTGATTAGCATTCACTGCAATCATGAAATTTGAAAACAATATGTTAATATTCATTGTAAATATGAAATTCGGAAATCAATGTATGTTGAAATGTTTTATTTTTTTTTAGATATCATGATGTAATGATAATCAAACTTCAAGATCTGGGAACCATTCCTATTTCAGCAAATGAAATAGAGCCGAAAATGAATTTATTATCTAATAAAGCTGTAGATCGACTTATTAAACATTGGCTGGCGGAGGTTGCTGAATTCTTCTTAGAGAAGAAATATGCTTGGTCTTGTTTTATTGAAAAACATTATAATGCATCTACAGCGCTGATAGAGAAATATTTTAGAAGCGTAAATACTCTTTTATCTAGACAATTACGAATGATGATAATGAAAACGTTGAATAATTTTAGAGATTTTTTTATGGAATATAGCAAAGGAAATTATTTTAAAGGTGATTACAAGGATCTTATGTTTTACAAGTAAGTGACTTGCAAGGGAAATTCGATAACTGGTAAATTTCAAAAAATTTAAAACCTTGCAAATATAGTTTGTATAATATTAATAACGGAACAATTTTTCTCTGTTATTAAAACAGTTTTAAAGATGAAAGTGTCTCTCCAAAGAAATCTTCAATTTTTCATGTATATACAGTTTCATAAATATTCACAATAATATGAAAAGTTAAGATTTTTTTTGGGAAAGATGTGGGAAGAGAGGGGGAGATTGGATTATTTTACAACAAGAAAAAGAAATTCTTCCGTAATTACACATGAACTACATGTGTGCAAAGTTCAAATTTTTTTGAATTTTCCAATCGCTAAACTTTCCTTGTTAATAATTTAAATGTTTCTATGTATAATATTCGTTAAAATTACATTTCAGAACCCCCTTTATAACAGTAATAGTAGAACCAATACTTGGTACAGGTAAATTACATTGTAAACCGAATATTTTAGAAGTACGTTCAATTATTTCACAGTGTTTTGATAAAATTATTGGAATTGGAACAATGATTCCAAAAATTGAAACCATTTTATTTCCTGAATTAGAGAAGCAGGAGTTTTTATTCTCTATATCGCGATACGAAGAATCGGTAAACGAATTGTTATAAATTTTCATGTTTATCATTATTTATTTTATTCGTTTATTATATTTTTATCCATTTGTATTTTGTGCTTTTTGTCTTGGAATATACATAGCTTGTATGTATTATTTTAGTTAATTAATTAATTTAATTAAATTAATAATTTTTAAATTGGATGAATAAATAAAATAATTATTTATGGAATAATATTAATCTATATTATCATTTTTCTACAAAAAAATAGTTGCATCTCATTGTATGCATTATTTACATTACATATTGTTTAATCAAAACCTTTAAATAGTGTACATATTTATCTTGCATTATACTACTTATATTTAAAGCAGAAATGAAAAGGAAGTTGATGTATCAATGTCTGTTGACCTATAATTTGAAAAATATTCAATTGTAATTAAAAACGTATAATTTACGTATGAAAACATTTATTTCAATTATTTGTTTTATTTTAATTATGATGGTTTGTGATTTATTATTTCATGATCTGTTTTATATTTCACTACTTTTATTCTCATTAGTTTTATCAATAAATAAATGTCACAGGTTTCAAGCATAGTTTCTGATGTACTAAATGTTATCAATGCTCATATAAAGGGTCCACAAATTTATTTAAAATGTTATCAAGATTTGTTGTATATAGTCGATGGTCAAGCTAAACAAAATTTAGACCAGTTTTTTATCATTGAACCCATGCCGTATTTGCATGAATTTGAACAAAAAATAAAAGGCTACGATCAGAAAAGAAAAGAAATTTTAGTGTTTCGTAACAAGGTAAACGTATATAATATTTTGCAACAATATGTTGAGCTTATATATATTTCGTTCTAGATACCTTTGAACTTGATAGAAATCGACTGTACTACTCTAAATAACACTTTAAGGCAAATTCTTTACGATCTTCGTACTGAAATTTGTGATTTCTTTGCAAACGAGTTACGAACCAACAATCGAGATTTATGCTCCAATTTTGATACAATAGCAGAAAATATCTCGAAAATGCCAGAAAAAACGCAAGACGTCGTCGAACTGTACAATTACTTGTGCGAAAGCCGAGATGTCACCATATTCAACTTGAAAAGAAAATTATTACGTTCTATAGAATTAATTTTATTCCTTTTTAATTATCAACCGCCCACGGACGACGACATTCACTTAAATACTCGCGTCATCACGTGGCCGAAGGAGATGGAAGTCGTGATGGATCTAGCGAGCACAAGATTAAACATGAGAAAAGAATATCTCGAAGAAGTATTACGCATAAGAAGGGACAATTTTGAACTAAGGATACATAATATGCGACTAGCGATCGATCAATTTAAAAAGAAGGATCCACCAATATTAACTATGGAGGAGATGGAGGACGCGGTATCGCAAGTTGAACAGCTTTCTAGAGGTATGGAAGAGATTAGGAAAGAAGTGGAGGAGATCAATGAGCAAGAAGGACTTCTAGACATGGAGTTAAGTCCCTATTTAATAATTCCCATGATGTCTACGACAGTTAGTGCACTCGATACTCTTTGGCACACAGTATTAGATTTTCATAAGAATTATGACAAGTGGCATAATGGTCCATTTATCGGTCTCGATGCCGACGAAATTAAGGACGAAACTGACAACATCTGGCGCACGTTATACAGATTGGCACGCGTTCTTGTCGACATTCCAGGTGCACGGAAAATCACCGAAATGGTTCGCGCGAAGGTGGACAAATTCAAGCAGTATATCCCCCTTTTACAAATTATTTGTACTCCTGGATTACAAGACCGACATTGGAAACAGATTAGCAGAGTAGTGAACGTGTATATAACAGTAACGCCTACGAGTTCTCTGGCTGATATGATAGAGTTGGGATTGTTACTTCATATAGCTAAACTCGAGGAGATATCGTCTGCTGCTGTGAAAGAGCACGCGCTTCAACAAAGCTTGCAGAAGATGAAAGAAGACTGGGCAGACATTGAATTCCAATTCGTACTCTACCGAGAAACCGGTGTTCATATATTAACCGCTATAGACGATATTCATCAGTTGTTGGACGATCATATTTTAAAAGCGCAGACAATGAGAAGTTCTCCATTTATAAAAGCTTTCGAAGTGGAAATGCAAGCTTGGGAGAATAAATTACTGCAAATGCAGGATATCATTGATCAATGGTTAATGTGTCAAGCAACCTGGATGTATTTGGAGCCAATATTTAGCAGCGAAGATATAATGCGTCAAATGCCGACCGAGGCGAAACATTTCAGAAGGATGGACAAGATTTGGCGTAAAATCATGGTGTACGCTGTCCAAAATAGTCACGTACTCGATGCTACCGGCATGCCAAATATATTGGAGGAGTTAACGCTATGCAACACGTTGCTGGAAGAAATACAGAAAGGATTAAACGAATACTTGGAGAAGAAACGTTTATACTTTCCAAGGTTCTTCTTCTTGTCGAATGACGAACTGTTAGAAATACTCTCGGAAACTAAAGATCCGCAGAGAGTACAGCCACACTTGAGGAAATGCTTCGAGGGTATCAGTAAATTGCGATTCACCAAAGAGGAGGAAATTATTGGAATGTTATCGGACGAAGAGGAATACGTTCCGCTAAGCGGGAAGATTTATCCAGCGGACGCAAAAGGCATGGTTGAGAAATGGTTGTCTCAAGTTGAGGAACTTATGAGAGCCTCCCTTCGAGACATTGCCGAAGAAAGTATCGTCGCTTATTTCATCACCGACAGAGGAGAATGGATATTCTCCTGGCCTGGTCAGATCGTTATTTGCTGCAGTCAAATACATTGGACCAGCGAAGTTTGCGAGTCGTTCGAGGATCGTTCTACTGCTTCTTATTTACAGATATGCAACAGTCAAATAGAAGAAACGGTCACGTTGATAAGAGGGAAATTGAACCCGGGCGCGAGAATAACAATAAATGCTTTAATCGTGATAGACGTCCATGCACGAGATGTAGTACGTTTGCTCGTTGATAAACAAGTGAGTGACATCATGGATTTCGATTGGATATCACAACTGAGATATTACTGGTTGGACGATAGTATTGTCGTCTCGATAGTCACGACCATTGTAGCGTATGCCTTCGAGTACCTTGGGAACACATCAAGACTTGTCATAACGCCATTAACTGATCGATGCTACAGAACTTTAATGAGCGCGTTAAAATTGAACCTTGGCGGTGCGCCCGAAGGTCCGGCAGGTACTGGTAAAACAGAAACAGGTAAAGATCTTGCAAAAGCTGTGGCCAAACAGTGCGTGGTTTTCAATTGTTCGGAGGGGCTGGATTATCAAGCGATGGGCAAATTTTTCAAAGGGCTTGCGCAGTCGGGAGCGTGGGCATGTTTCGACGAATTTAACAGAATAGATCTGGAAGTTCTTTCCGTGATTGCTCAGCAGATCTTGACCATTCAAATGGCTGTAAGTTTAAAATTGGAAAAGTTTATGTTTGAAGGTACGGAGCTAAAATTAAATCCTACCTGCTACGTTATTATAACGATGAATCCTGGTTATGCTGGACGCGTGGAACTTCCCGACAATTTAAAGGTTCTGTTTCGCACTGTGGCAATGATGGTGCCGGATTATGCCATGATAGGAGAAATTACATTGTACTCCTTCGGTTTCATAGACGCCAAGAATCTTGCCGAGAAAATAGTCCACACTTACAAACTATGTTCTGAACAATTAAGCTCGCAAAATCATTACGATTACGGAATGCGAGCTGTGAAAACTGTGCTGGTCGCTGCTGGAAATCTAAAGTTGAAATATCCCAGGCAGAATGAATCGGTTTTGATCCTACAAGCGATCATCGATGTCAATCTTCCGAAATTTTTGGCTCACGACATCCCTCTGTTCAATGGAATATACACAGACCTATTTCCTGACACCAGTTTACCAGAGCCACATCGAGACGAGTTAATAGAGTTGGCCAAGGTTGTTTTGGAGAAGCGAAATCTCCAAGCTACGCCTTGGTACATGGAAAAGATAATCCAAATTTACGAGATGCTGTTGGTGCGTCACGGTTTGATGATCGTGGGCAATACGTTAAGCGGAAAGACGCAAGCGTATCAAGTTCTAGCCGAAGCTTTAAGCGAGCTAAGCGGCAGAAGACGCGCTGTTATGAAAGAATTTTCAACAACTTACAAGATCATTAATCCGAAAGCTATTACTTTGGATCAGCTGTATGGCAGTTTCGATCCAATATCGCACGAATGGAGTGACGGAGTTTTAGCCAACATTTTCAGAGAATTCGCGCAATCTATTTCGCCAGATCGAAAGTGGATCATTTTCGATGGTCCTATCGATGCTCTATGGATCGAAAGTATGAATACGGTGCTTGATGACAATAGGAAGCTTTGCCTGATGTCCGGAGAAATTATACAAATGTCGCATAAAATGAACATGATGTTTGAACCAGCTGATTTGGAGCATGCCTCGCCAGCTACAGTTAGCAGATGCGGCATGATTTATATGGAGCCGTCACAACTTGGATGGAATGCATTATTCGACTCATACAAAAAGTATCTTAAAAATAAGCTCCTTGTCGAACAGTATGAATTGATTGTCGAATTGATTGAGTGGTTGACGGAGCCAATTCTGACTTTTGTTCAGCATCGTTGTAAGACATTTGTTGAAATATCAGAGCTTCATATGTTTTTAGTAAGTGGAAGTAAATTTGAATTTAACTGATATCTTTCAAAACTTTCTTACTTATGATCTTCGTATCTTTAATAAATTTAGTATTATTACATTGATAATATTAAAATGCCAAAGTTAGTTTGATTTTGAAATTAAAATTTGGATTTAATATATGTTGCTATTTATTTTAGTCCTTTACAAAACTTTTCACCGCAATGTTGGACGGAGAAACACAAGTTAGCACAATTTGGCTTCAATGCGTTTTATTATTTAGCATCGTTTGGGGAATGTGTTCAACGTTAACAAGCGATAGCAGAAAGATTTTCGATGTTTATTTAAGGAAATTATTACTTGGAACTGACGATGAATATCCTAAACCAAAAGCATTTAAACTGACGAAACAACAGCTTTTTCCTGATAAGGGAACTGTTTATGACTGGATATATGATAAAAGAAATAATGGATGCTGGATACCGTGGATGGACACAGCGTTACAGGTATTAAATATTTTAAAAATATTGACTCGCAATCAGTTCTCCTTTCTTTTGTAAAATTGTTTAAATGGTCTTTCTGTATTAAAATCTGTTTCGTAAAAGAAGATTGAGGAAATATTGTTGAGGAAAGAAATTGTGAAAGTAAAGTAATTGAAATGATCTAACATATATTTTTCTTTAATATTAGAAGAATTATTAACATTAGAATATTAGTCTTAATAATTTAATAATTTCGCACTGTTGAGAATTGTTTTATGTAGATATTTTCTTTTTTTTAATAATATAATTTGAAATCATAATCTTTTAGATTTGTGTGATATTCTATTGCCTCGTAATAATTTATAATTCAATTTTTGAACGTAGAAAAATATTATGCAATTAATATTATACATAAAATAGAAAAATTATAATTAATTAAACTAATTACATTATAATATTATATCTCATTTTATTAAATATATTATATTAGTTCTTTTAAATATATTAATTATATTAATTGCATTTAATATATTATTTTATTTAAATATATTATATTATTTATTTTATTAAATATATTTTCTACAGTACAAAAAGATATTTATTGTTTTTAAATACAAAATTATTTCTCTTCTATTGGAAACACAAATTAAACTGATAACTCTAAATAAATAATCTATAATGACATTTCATAAATACTTGTTTTGAATAGATTTTACTATAAAATATTTCAATACTTTTAATTCGTCTTTTTTTTATATTTTAGGCGTCTTTATTACCAGATGCAAAATCAAGTGAATCAATTGTACCAACAACTGAAGTAGTAATCCAATATTTCTTTATCAGAAATCTTCTTCACAGAGAAATACCTATTTTATTTGTTGGACCAACTGGCACCGGGAAATCCGTTATTGTACTAAATTATTTGCAGTCTCTACCCAGAGACAAATATATAGAGAATATCGTAAACTTTAGCGCTCGCACCACTGCTGCTCTAACTCAAGAGATAATAATGTCCAAGCTAGATCGTAGAAGAAAAGGTGTATACGGTCCACAAATGGGGAAAAAGTGCGTAATATTCGTTGATGATTTAAGCATGCCGCTGAAAGAACAATACGGTGCTCAGCCACCAATTGAACTCATTCGTCAATGGGTGGATCATGGACACTGGTTTAATCTAAAAGACACAACAATGTTATACTTGGTGGATATGTTTCTGATTTGTGCTATGTTACCACCCGGAGGTGGTTCAAACGTGGTCACACCTAGATTAACACGACACATGCACATAGTTGGTATCGATTTTTTCGAAGAGGTGACCATGACCAAAATTTTCTCTTCGATTCTTGATACACACTTTGCAAAAGGATTTTTACCAGAGGTCTCAAGATTAGGAAGAATGATCGTAACCGCGACGATGAATATATTTCTCAACGCGATCAAAACCTTTCTACCGATTCCAGCGAAAAGTCATTACACCTTTAATTTGCGCGATTTCAGCCGGGTTATTAAGGGTATACTTTTGGTGCCAGCTCCCAGGATGAAGGATCCAGACAAGCTGATTAGACTTTGGGTTCACGAGGTGTACAGAGTGTTTCATGACAGACTGGTAGATGACAACGACCGAGAAATGTTGTTTGAAATGGTTCAGTACACCTGTTACGATCAATTGCGACAACCGCTGAAAAAAGTACTTGGTAGACTGTTGCAAGAAGGAGAGACGATAACAAGTTCCCACATGTGTGACCTATTTTTTGGTAATTATATAGAACCCGATGCCGAGCCAAAAGTATACGACGAAGTAGAAGATCTCGAAGATTTGCAACACAAGATGGATTATTACTTAACGGAGTACAATATGCTTTCCAAGACACCAATGTCCCTGGTACTATTCAGATACGCTATTGAACACATTTCTCGCATTTCACGGATACTGCAGCAAGAAAGTGGACATGCCCTTTTAATAGGAATGGGTGGCTCGGGTAAAAGTTCGTGCGCCAAACTAGCGACAAACATGGCCGAATATCTGATATATCAGGTTGAAATTACTACAACTTACGAATTTTCGGAATGGCGGGAGGACTTGAGGAAGTTGTTGCTACGCGTTGGGTGCGATGGAAAACCCACTGTATTTCTTTTCGGCGATCATCAAATAAGAGACGAATCTTTCATCGAGGATATAAATATGGTCCTCAATACGGCCGATGTGCCAAATTTATACGACATTGAGGAGAAAGCTGAGATTCTGGATAAAATGACGAACGTAATGCACAGCATCAGTGGGCGAAAAGTTGAAATTACTCCTATGATTCTTTACAATTTGTTCCTCGAGAGAATAATGAAAAATCTCCACTGGATTTTAACGATGTCACCAATAGGTGACAAATTTAGAAACCGTCTGCGGATGTTCCCCTCGCTGATAAACTGTTGTACTATCGACTGGTACACCATTTGGCCCGAGGACGCGCTGGAAAAGGTAGCGCGTGTATCGTTGCAGAATGTTAACATCAGTGCGGATCTACGAGAGAAATGTGTCTATATGTCCAAAAAATTCCACACGAGTATCGCGTTGGCTAGCGAAGATTACTACAACACCCAAGGAAGAAGATACTACATAACACCGACCAGTTTCCTAGAGCTCATCAAATCGTTTTGCAGGCTGTACGACAAGAAAATCGAAGAAATCACCGCGCAGCAAATGCGATACGAAAGGGGATTGGAAAGGTTGGATTTTGCGGCGGATCAAATAGCTGTTATGAAGGAAGAGCTTCAAGCCTTGCAACCAAAATTGCTGGAGCAGTCTGAATTAAGTAACAAGCTTATGGTCAAAATCGAGCAGGATACGATCAACATCGAGGCCAGAAAGGAGATCGTTGCTGCTGAGGAAGCTCTAGCAAACGAGGCTGCTGCCGCTGCGCAGGCGATAAAAGACGACTGTGAGAGCGATTTGGCCGAGGCAACACCTGCGTTAGAGGCTGCTTTAGCTGCGCTGGACACTCTGAAACCCGCGGACATCAGTATCGTCCGATCAATGAAAAGTCCACCGGCAGGCGTGAGATTGGTGATGGAGGCTATTTGCATCTTGAAAGGGGTCAAACCTGAGAAAGTCCAGGATCCGACAACCGGCCGAATCGTGGAAGATTACTGGCCAGCATCTATAAGGCTGTTAGGCGACATGAGGTTCCTCGAGGGTTTGAAAAACTTCGACAAAGACAACATACCACCGGCGTACATGAAGATAATTCGCGAGAGATTTATAAACGACAGAAGCTTTCAACCGGAGGCTATTAAGAAGGTCTCCACTGCCTGCGAGGGTCTATGCAAGTGGGTACGAGCGATCGAAGTTTACGACCGAGTGATCAAAGTCGTTGCCCCGAAGCAGGCGATGCTGGCAGAAGCCGAAGCAGCTCTCGCCAAGCAGATGGAGGCTTTGAACGCCAAACGAGCCCTCCTTCAGGAAGTTACGCAGAAATTGCAATCGCTCAACGACGAATTCGCCGAGTGCATGAGAGAGAAGAAGAAGTTGGAGGATCAAATCGACTATTGTAAGAAAAAATTGGACAGAGCCGAGAAACTGCTTGGCGGTTTAAGCGGTGAGAAGAACAGGTGGCAGGAAACAGCCACGATACTAGGCGCAAGCCTTAACAACGTTATCGGAGATGTTTTGTTGTCTTCGGGAGTAGTTGCTTACTTCGGTGCCCTCACGATAGAGTACAGAAACAAATTAATCGCAGAATGGCACGAATCTTGCGTAATGGCGGCAATTCCGTGCAGGGAGAAATTCAATTTGATCGATATTTTAGGCAAACAGGTGGAAATTCGAGCGTGGATAATCTTTGGCTTGCCAGCAGATCATTTCTCCGTGGAGAATGGAATAATTGTAAAGAACGCTGATCGATGGCCGCTCATGATCGACCCACAAAACCAAGCGAACAAGTGGATAAAAAATATGGAGAAAGAAAATAATTTGACTGTTATCAAGCTTTCTGACCCGAATTATGTGAAGATAGTGGACACCTGCATACAGCTTGGCACGCCTGTTCTGTTAGAAAATATTTTAGAAGAGATAGACGCGATATTAGAACCAGTGCTTCTTAAGAATATCTACAAGGAGCGTGGCGTTTTCTACATGAAATTTGGCGAACATGTGATTGAATATAATCCTGATTTTCGATTTTATATTACCACGCGTTTAAGAAATCCACATTATTTACCAGAAGTGGTTGTGAAAGTGACGCTATTGAATTTCATGATCACGCCTCAAGGGCTTCAGGATCAGTTGTTGGGCATAGTTGTCGCTAAGGAATTACCTGTGCTCGAGGAACGTAAGAACCAGTTAATCGTAGAAGCTGCGAGTAACAAGAGAATATTGGAGGAAATAGAGGATAAAATTTTAGAGGTTCTGTCCGCCTCGGAGGGCAATATTTTGGAGGATGAAACAGCGATTACGATATTATCGACGTCGAAAGTACTGGCAGAGGACATTGAAGCTAAACAAGAGATAGCTGCTAAAACGGCGATAGAAATTGATTACGCTCGTGACGAGTACAAACCTGTCTCGGAACATGGTTCTGTGCTGTTCTTCTGCATTTCCGAACTGGCAAACATCGACCCTATGTATCAGTATTCTCTACCATGGTTCATTCATCTCTATGAAATGTCAATAGCGAACAGTGAACGGGATGAGAATCTAAACGTCCGAATAAACAATTTAAACGCATACTTTACAGCCAGCATTTACAGAAACGTGTGTCGTTCTTTGTTTGAAAAAGATAAACTGATATTCTCTTTTGTTCTGTGCATTGGTCTCTTACGTGCTGATAAAAAAGTAAACGAGGAATTTTGGACGTTTTTATTGGCAGGCGACGTAGCCCTAGATAATCCTTATCCTAATCCAGGCACCCCTTGGTTAACTGATAAATCCTGGAATGAAATAGTCCGAGCCACAAGTTTGCCGGGCCTTGAACAATTAAGACAATCTTTTGAAATGCAAACATCACATTGGAAGGCTTACTATGACTCGTCTAGCCCTCACATGGAATCTTTTCCACATCCATTTGAGAACGAAACTGAAAGCTTGAAAAAGCTGGTCATACTCAAATGCATAAGACCCGATAAAATTGTGGCCGCTGTGCGAATGTTTGTTATACATAACATGGGCCAATCTTTCGTGGAACCACCACCGTTTGATCTTCAAGCGTGTTACAACGATTCTAGCAACGTGACTCCTCTTATTTTTATTCTTTCACCGGGATCCGATCCAATGGCAGGATTGATCAGATTCGCAGAAGACTATGGAATATCAAAAGAGAATCTGATGACTATATCATTGGGGCAGGGTCAAGGCCCAATCGCGGTGAACATGATAGATAGAGGAATAAAGAGCGGGGAATGGGTAATGCTTCAAAATTGCCATTTGGCAGTGTCTTGGATGAAAGAATTAGACAGAATCTGCGACGAAATAATCATACCAGAGAATACCCATTCGAAGTTTCGTTTGTGGTTGACCAGCTATCCATCGAAGGATTTCCCAATTTCTATATTGCAGAATGGTGTTAAAATGACTAACGAACCGCCAAAAGGGCTGAAGAACAATCTACTGAGAAGTTATATGAACGATCCAATATCGGATCCAAAGTTCTTTGCCAGTTGTACCAAAATACATGAATGGAGGAGTCTCCTTTTCGCTCTGTGTTTCTTTCATGCAGTTGTTCAAGAACGACGTAACTTTGGGCCATTGGGTTGGAATATTCCATACGAATTCAACGAATCGGATCTTCGCATTAGTATTTTACAGCTGCAGGTAAGATTATACCTGTATTAAGGTGAGATTATATTCTTTCACGAAAAAGGTTCTGTTTTAAGAAGGATCTAAATTTGTATAGGTGGAGACGTTTTTAAAATCTCGAGATTACCTCGTGGTCACCTATTTTCTTTTTCAATGAAATCATATGTTTTTCGGTGCAGCTCGGCATTCTCTATAAAAAATTATTAGTTAGGTGACATTTTTTAACTTTAATTTTGTAAGATCTATCGTATGAAAGATAAGAGAAAAAGACAGGAATGATATTCTTATGTTCATGTTGTTCTTATTTCACGAACATTTTTCTTCGAATAATGAATGAGTTACGGAGGTAATTGCGTGGAAGAATTAAAATGGGACACCAAACAAGACAAGTGTTTATGTAAAATTAATAGAAAATTCTTGCTACTATATTATTTAACTATACTATTATAGTATTTGAATATATTCTTTCAACGTAAAAAGAAAAAAGGATTGTAAACGTTGAGACTATATATTGACAGTACATATTTAAGGGATAAATATAGGAAGATTATAAATGTAGAAAAAGCTGGTTCAATTTTCGTATCTATTCTTGTTGAAAATAGCGCATACTATGTGATATTACGTTATTTGTAATTAACAATAATCTATAAATTAGTTCTTTCTTTATTTCATTATGAAATACTATGTTAAGTATTTATCATACGTATTATATCTGATGTTATAACATACTAAAGTTTCCTTTTTTCTTTTTGTATTAGCTTTTTTTAAACGATTACGACGAAATACCGTTCGATGCACTTCTTTACTTAACTGGTGAATGCAATTACGGTGGCCGTGTAACTGATGATAAGGATAGACGTTTGCTGAATTCATTACTGAAGCAATATTACAATAATAAAGTTGTTACCGATCCACAGTAAGTTTTATAAATATGTCTAAATACTTTTTGAAATCAATAATCTATTAATTTACTTTAAATTATTGCAATTTATCATTGTATATATCTTTTATTTATATGTTTTTTTAATGTTCATATATATGAATATAGATATTACAAACTACATAGATTATTCATATACATAGATAATTCAAATATTTATCATTAAAGTATTTTGAACAATTTTCCTATAAATAACGTTTCTTCTTATGCATCCTTGTGTAGTTATACTAACAATAAGAGAACTAATACATTACAACATAAATATATTATGGACACAATGTAAATCTTGTGCTTATAAAATTATATATATTTATATTTTTAATGCAGATATTGTTTCTCACGAAGTTGTATATATCGTCTACCAGAAAATACAGATTATCACGGATGTCTAGAATACATTCGAGGTCTACCAATGACACAACAGCCAGAAGTATTTGGTTTACATGAGAATGCAGATATAACAAGGGATAATCAAGAATCGTTGCAGCTACTTAAGGGAACTCTATTAACTCAGACACACATTATTGGAGTGGGAGTTGAACGAGAGGTTGATGACATCGTCTATAGTTTATGCGATGACATTTTATCTAAATTGACGTTACGATTCGATGTCTTGGAAGTTTCTAAAAAATATCCAGTGCTCTATATAAATAGCATGAATACGGTTCTCCGTCAAGAGCTCATTAAGTTTAATAATCTCATTGATACTATTAGAACTACTTTGGTAGATGTGCAAAAAGCAATTAAAGGATTGGTCTTAATGTCCTCCGAATTGGAAGAAGTCTTTTTCAGCATGAGCGTTGGCAGAGTGCCAGCTACTTGGAGTAAAATGTCTTATCCTTCTTTAAAACCACTAGGGAGTTATATCAATAATCTGCTAGAGAGATTAGCATTTTTCCAAGATTGGATAGATCATGATGCACCAACTGTCTTTTGGATATCCGGCTTCTTTTTTACACAATCTTTTCTCACGGGCGCCTTGCAAAATTATGCCCGCAAACATAAAATTCCAATTGATAAATTAGATTTTGAATTTGAAATAACTTCATTTGAAAGTGATGTAGAAACTGCACCGTCTTATGGAGTTTATATAAGGGTAAGATTTTTAATGTTATATAACATTTATTATGAATAATTTAGAGTTCTGAAATTTTTTTTTACTGTATACGAGGTATACCAAAAATCATGGTATAATTAATGGTATGATTGAATATGATAATTTCATATATTGTTGTAAATATAAATAAGAAGAATATTTAATATTGACAAAAATATTAATATCTAATGTTAACATAAGTACTATTAATATTTAATATTAATAATAATTAAAATCAATTCTGTGTTACTAGAAAAATCAATAATGGAATTCCTCTGTAATACTTTTAAATCTAGATTGTATTGTAACAAATATAAAATAAATAGTATACTCATGAAGACTATAGATAGATAAAATACAAATTATTGTAAGATATAAACTACGTACAAATAATTATTCTAAGAAAACTTCTTTTCAACTTTCAGGGTCTATATTTAGAAGGAGCAAGATGGAACAGGCAATTAAAAGAAATGGATGAGTCTGAACCAAAAATTATGTTTGATTTACTTCCTGTAATATGGTTAAAGCCTGGCATAAAAGCTGAATTTATTATTGAATATGTGTATCATTGTCCTGTCTATAAGACGAGCGAGAGACGTGGTGTTTTAGCAACCACTGGCCATTCTTCCAATTTTGTATTATATATTTTATTTCCAACACACGTTGACGAATCTCATTGGATTAGAAGAGGAGTTGCTTGCTTATGTCAACTAGATGACTAAATTATTGAAAAAATACATCATTTATTATGTGATTTTATATGGATATCAAACATTACATCTATGATATATCATAAAATCTATATATATATAAATATTTTTAATAAAAGTGTACAAAAAATAAAATTAAATTCAGTTCAAAAATTATCTTGAATAAAATTTACTCATAGAAGATAATCTTATATAGAAGCTGTTTAATGTTAAAGCTATAGAAAATAAGAAATGTATTTTTCCAAAAATTAATCTATAAGGAATACATGTAATAATGATTACACTACTGTAATAAAGATTCATCAATCGTTGTTTTAAATCATTATATTCCTTCATTGATGAAGGAATGTACTGCCACGTTCAATTCAATAAATAATTCTCGAAGCAGATGTGGCAATATTATCCATATTTTTAAATTTTAATTTTCATCAACAGTAGTGCTGCAGTGCAAAACGTACCTGAATCGGTAAGACAGAATGTGACACGAAAATGGTAAAGGACACCCCCGAATCGTTGGCCGAAAAAATATATTGTATGATAAGATCTATTCGTATACCTCGTCTGTGCCTATTGTCATACACTATTGCTGTGCCTTTTCATTTGACATGCGACACATATTTCTATTGTCACTCACTAATACAATCCATGATACACTGGCTATACTTAGATCTATGTTTTCAGGAAAGATGTAGGATGATGGTCAAAGTAGGACAAGATCATGATAGGGTTATAAATGATATAAGAAGGTAAAGCGCCAGATGAGCAGGAACCCATCCTAGAGATGTTACGCACACAGCACGCGTAACCTGCAGATCGCACTTGATCATAAGCTAAGCGACATCCACTTGGTGTTCGTACCTTGAAAACTTGTATATTAACCCGGGATTACCCACCTGCAGGTACATTCCGGCACTAGACCCCCACGTGGGTAATCCCGGATTAAGTAAGGACTTTGTTGGCCGTTACACCACTTGCAAATTTTCGAAAATTTTTCAAAACAAAATGTTTACACTAAAAAAATGTAAATAAACATTGGAAACCAAAACAAACAATCCCGTGTTTGCATTTCAAAACTTTCGAAATTCCACTTTCAAATTTTCGAAAATTTCTGAAAATAAAGGGTGTTTACATTAAAAAAATGTAAATAAATATTGGAAACCAAAACAAACAACCAAAAAAATGTAAATGAACATTGGAAACCAAAACAAACGAACTAATGTTTGCAAACAAAGCGAAATTTCAAAGTTTTCGAAATTTCACTTTCAAATTTTCGAAAATTTCTGAAAATAAAGTGTGTTTACATTAAAAAAATGTAAATAAATATTGGAAACCAAAACAAACAATCAAAAAATGTAAATAAACATTGGAAACCAAAATAAACGAACTAATGTTTGCAAACAAAGCGAAATTTCAAAGTTTTCGAAATTTCACTTTCAAATTTTCGAAAATTTCTGAAAATAAAATGTAAATAAATATTGGAAACCAAAACAAATAATCAAAAAAATGTAAATAAACATTGGAAACCAAAACAAACGAACTAATGTTTGCAAACAAAGCGAAATTTCAAAGTTTTCGAAATTTCACTTTCAAATTTTCGAAAATTTCTGAAAATAAANNNNGTTTACATTAAAAAAATGTAAATAAATATTGGAAACCAAAACAAACAATCAAAAAATGTAAATAAACATTGGAAACCAAAACAAATAAACCAATGTTTGCAAACAAAGCGAAATTTAAAAATTTTCAAAATTCCACTTTCAAACTTTCAAAAATTTCTGAGAATAAAGTGTGTTTACATTAAAAAAATGTAAATAAATATTGGAAACCAAAACAAACAATCAAAAAACTGTAAATAAACATTGGAAACCAAAACAAACAGACTAATGTTTGCAAACAAAGCGAAATTTCAAAGTTTTCAGAATTTCGATTGCAAATATACTTACTTATACTTACCCAGTGTCCATGAATTATCCAGAAGTGTTGGAAATGATTTCATAATAATTCACTTAGAAGTAAGTTAACATACGAATACTTACCCATACTTACCCAGTATGAACTGTCCACACGTATTGTAGATGATTTCATTGCATGATAGATCATTTAATAAACTACAGCAATTGAAGTATTTCAATTCAACAGTCGACTTTAATATTTCACATGCAATTATAATTTCCAATCGGATTGCGAAACTTTGAAATTTTGCTTTGTTTGCAAACATTGGTCTGTTTGTTTTGGTTACCAATGTTTATTTACATTTTTTTGATTGTTTGTTTTGGTTTCCAATGTTTATTTACATTTTTTTTATGTAAACACACTTTGTTTTCAAAAATTTTCGAAAATTTGCAAGTGGAATTTCGAAAAGTTTAAAATTTCACTTTGTTTGCAAACATTGGTCTGTTTGGTTTGGTTTCCAATGTTTATTTACATTTTTTTGATGTAAACACACTTTGTTTTCAAAAATTTTCGAAAATTTGCAAGTGGAATTTCGAAAAGTTTAAAATTTCGCTTTGTTTGCAAACATTGGTCTGTTTATTTTGGTTTCCAATATTTATTTACATTTTTTTGGTGTAAACACAATTTGTTTTGAAAATTTACTTATCAACTAATTTTCCCTATAGTTCAGTTTAGACCGCGAAATAAAGAAGAAAGAAAATTGCCCAATCTAAACTGAACTGTAGGGTGCGTAGTTCTTAGCTTGATATCGTTTTATAAACATTATTGTTTTACAAACTTTAGCATTTGTAGGACGGTATCAATTACCAAGACCCACCACGAGGAGGTGACTACGCACGGGTCTCCTTATAGTGTATTCTAAAACAGTACTATTTTATATATTCATCACACGAAACACGATTTATACTTGTATTGAATTTAAGTAATTGGTTAGAAAAGGAAAAGATCGTTTGATTGATCTAATAACTAATTTAAGATATTGAATAAATATTCTTGTTCAACAAATAATGGTAGAGACTAAATTCTTTTCCTAATTATAAGTTCAAAAAAAAATAGTAAATGTATCTAATGATATTTAAATAGCAATAAACTAATATTACCTGTGTACATGCAGCAATGTAATGTATATTAGGGTAATTACTAAAGTTAACTATCAAAGTATATCTCGTGCGACTACGATGCACTTGTATAAAGTTCAAATAATCATGAACAAGTATTAACCCAACACCAAAGAAACGAAACCATGCAACTTACCGATAGTTGAAATCAGAATTGTAGATTAACATTCGGTTGCGTTGGATTTGGTTATGTTCGATGCCTCCGAACTTCTTGATCTGCTAATGCTTCTGCTTCTCAAACTCTCTTCAGCAATATGTGTTTGAACAGTTCACAATCTCACTTTTTAAGTCACTTTAAATATTAGATAATGTTTAAACAACTAGAATATTCAGAAATATTATTTAAAAATTCACTTCTAAAATTTAATCGATGCGTACGCGACAAAAGTTTAATTTGTAATGAGCTCTTGTCTCTGTATCGATCGACATTAATCCGATTTTTCGATCCTTAATGATACGAAACAGATAATTAAAAGTTCTTAGAAATGTATTAGTGATTCGATTACTAAAAATGATTAATTAAAAATTTTAAATAGTACTTAGAAATGTTATAGAAGAGAATTTATTGTTTAATTGTTACAAATAAATTATTAGAAATTATTAGATAATGTTTAGAATATTCAGAAATATTATTTAAAAATTCACTTCGAAAATTTAATCGATGTGCACACGATGAAAGTTCAACTTATAATGACCATTTTCCTGCTGAACCTTTAGGTAAAGTCAGTGATGCACAGCAGGTGAAGTGAAATTGTTTGCACGGTTAGTTTTTAACTTATAATTCTGTTGAGATATACTAAATACTAATTTATAAGCCTGTGATATATAATACTAATTTATGTAGAAAATAATTATATTATAATTATATTTACACTCAAAAATTAAATTTATCGTTTTGTTAAGAATAACTATGCAAATAAGAAATAGTTCACATTTAATTCAATAATTTTCGATGTAGATGTCACATTATTCCACAGACGAATAAAATGTTAATACTAACACATTGTATATCATTATGTCATACTTTATACCATCTTTATTAATAATTTATAGCAATAAGTGATTTCAGCCGTTAAAAATGTAGCTCAGTGAGTTTGTCTTAATAAATAAAAAAGAAAATATGTGTGGTATCGTCCAAAAAAATAAATTTTTCTTCGAAATTTTGAAATGGATGAATTTTGCAAGAAATAATTTGCAATACATATTGTGCTTCTTTATCGCAAACAATATTCGTAGAAATATTTTATTCATGTTCAAACTTTCATAAAATCAAGTTTACAGAATAAAGATAATTCATTTAAATTGTGAATTTACAAATTTGTAAATAAAAAAACCGTCATATCTAATTATATTGTTCATAAAAATATCACATTTTTATAAATTTTTTTCTAATACTTTTAAATAGATGTTAATAGTCAAATATATACTAAATTCGTCTCAATTTTCATCAATCTCTGTTTTAAATCGTTCTATTCCTTCGTTGATGTTCCACCACATTCAATTCAATGAATAATTCTTGAAATAAATCTGTCAATACTGTCCATATTTTCTAATTTTCGCGCTGCAAAACTTGCCTGAATCGGTACAACAGGATGTGATACGAAAATGGTAAGTGAGCCCATGCATCCTCCAATCGTGGGCCGAAAAAGTACATTGTATGCTAGGCTTATTCATATACCTCGTTTGTGGTGCTACAGTGCAAAACTTGCCTGAATCGGTACAACAGGATGTAACACGAAAATGGTAAAGGGGCCCTGAGACCCTCAATTGTGAGCCGAAAAAATACATTGTATGCGAGGTCTATTCATATATCTCGTCTGTGGTGCTGCAGTGAAAAACTTGCCTGAATCGGTACAACAGAATGTAACACAAAAATGGAAAGGGGGCCCTGAGACCCTTCAATTGTGAGCCGAAAAAATACATTGTATGCGAGGTCTATTCATATACTTCGTCTGTGGTCAGATTCTCCAAAACATGGACTAAAAAGCATTGGATGTTCGGTCTATCGTGTAACATAAATGTGATGTTCATTCCATACTAATGTTCTTAAATATAAATTTCGTTTGTAATGGAATTTTTAATAAAATTTAGTTTCAATTTCAACCATTATCAACGTTGTAATCTTATTCTTTCTATGCTGAATCGATAACGACTTTAAAACCGAAAAGAAACTTTGAGCCGTAAAACAAATATACATTAAATGATAGGTATGTTCTGTATTTTGCATCTATACCTTGATTAAATGAATTGTATAACCGAACAAATTATTTCGTTTCATTGATTTAAAAGACTTTATCTACAGATTTATTATCGATAGCAGCGTCATCTATCGAATTGTTGGTCTTATCGCGTAAGGATAATGCGGATACCTGAATAACTAAAAGTATGTCTATATTCCGGTTCAGACACGCTAAAAATATCCCTGCATGAGTGTAGCTCGTTATAATTGATCATTTGTAATTTTATTTTTCCAACTCAGGTAATTTACGACTTAATTCCTTGATGTCACGTATTGAGTAAGATCCTACATGAATTGCAATGCAATAAAAACCTCATCGACAATCTTAAAAGGCAATTGGGAATAACTAATATTTGCCCAGGGTCCAATAATATGTTAGTCATCCCTGGGAACGACAGACGCGAGGCGACATGACGTTTTGTCGGTGACGCGACAACTTTGTGATATCGAACCGTATCCACCGATCAAGTATTCTTTTACGCATTGCGCTGCGGTATTCTGGTTATCGTTCGACGCTCAGCAATTCTGAAACTCAATCAAAAAGTAAAAAAGGGTGGCCAAGGTGAAAGTGACACGGGTTGGAAAAGCGTCGCAGACGTTGCGTGTTCGCGAACTCCGTATGACACGTATCGCGTTGCGAACTGTACTGCGAGGGATACAAAACTTATGAATTCAAAGTCGCGTGATAACACTAATCTTACAAAAATCAAGCAGACAACTGCATATTACTTTACGAAATAATTTTTTGTTGATGTTAGACGTGTTTTTATTTCAGTATACCGTCACGTTCTTTGCAAAAAGATATTAATTCGCGATAGAGCGACGTATTTATTTATCATTAAAAACAAAAAGAAAAAAAAAAGATGGATGAAACAAGAAATTACATAAATTTAGTGTTAACAGTTAAAAAATATCCAGCGTTATATGATCTCAGCTGCAATGACTACCACAATAGAGTTGTACGAAATAAAATGTGGAGAGCAGTGGCACAAGAGGTGAACGCTTCTGGTAAGAATTATTCCGAGTTCAAATGCGTCTTTCGAGTTCCTTATGCGAAATTTTTTATATTTTGTATTCCTGTACGTTCGCCCTTATAGCTGCGGAATGCAAGGAGAAATGGAAAAATCTTCGGGCTAGCTTCAGTAGACATTTAAGAAATCAAAGTACGGCGAATTCGAAAGCGAAAAGGCCGTATTACATGGCCGATTATATGGACTTTTTACTTCCCTACAGCAAACTTCGTAGGTAATTGACAGACATTGACATGCAATAGAAAATCGCTAATAGATTCCGTGATTCATTCGAACTTTTTTTTTATATTTCTCTGTTTTTATATCCTTAGGCCAGATGACAGTTTGAATGAAGAAGGACCAATAGCGCAAGAGAATTGGAACGAAGAGGAGACCGCCTCTGATACATCCTCCAATTACGAAAAATTAAACAAGTCCGACCAAAAGATGCCAGAGCCAGAAAGAGAAGGAGACACGAGGAACGAAGAATACGCGTTCTCGAGGAGTAAAACAATCAGGGTTACAGACGACCAATTGTTATCACACAGATGCTTGGATAATTGTGTTCTCGCCAATCGTCACGACTTCGACGAATCGATCAGCGACTCAGACTTGTTGTTCTTTAAAAGCTTGCTTCCAGATGTACGACAGATGACAAGACAAGAGAAGAGAAGCTTTAAAATATCTGTGTTGAATTTGATCGATAAGATACTGAACGAAAAGGAATCGGGAATGTCAATCGAAAACGATATTTCTTGCTCGACAGTGAAAAATCAACAAGACGAAAGAATCGATCAATTTTAAATCAAGAGATTTTATAAAAGTTAATTATAAAAGTTCGTAATGGTTATAAATAAACATATTACAACGACTGATAAATGATATGTATATATATGCATAAACTTTATATATATGTATATATAAACAACTAGGAAATGTTATTAGCACAATTTACGTGGGAAATTTATATTCTAAAATAATTTGTAATTTATCATAGTATTAGTATACTATTACTAATAGGAATTAATAAAGTCATATTATTAAAATATATACAGCAATAAAAGATAATTAAAAACAAGATATAACCGAACCCATACAATTTCATGATTAAATAATAAAAAGGGATCTTTCCCCCTTCTCCTTTCAGCTTGTTTTCGCAGACGTAGAATAAAAACGAATAAAAATACATATTTGCACGACCAAAGTATTATCTTGACGTGGTTGAGAATCACTGAAAAATGTTGATTGGTCAGTGAAGACAACGCGGTATCTTCGAGCCAACGGAAGAAGCTAATGAAAATTGAACATGTGTTGCGCCAAAAGATTCGACTGTTTTCGGTTAATTATCCGAAAACAATCGAATTTTTAAACGTACCATAATATATAGTGTGCACGTGCAAATCTACGAATGTAAACATGACGTTTCTAGACAAATTGTTTTCGCAGATTATACTTTGACAATGGCGTAATTCTAGATCAATGAAAAAAAAAAAAAAAGATAAATGCGTCTTTTAACTCTCATTCCTTCTTCATTTCTCCAACTTAGTTTGTTCCTTGCTGTCAAATTTACACAGTGATGAGAAATTAATACCTACGATGAAAAGAAATAATTAAATTTGCAAATTCTTTTATAAACAGACTAAATTCAATTATTTATAATTTCTCATAATACTCTCATATATAAATATCCAATTTTATATTCAATTTTATATCGTGATCTTACATTTTATCAAACCAATATACAAGAATGAATGATGGTTAAGAATACAGGCGTTCATGATATTCTTTTATCTTTTTACACACAGGAACATTTATTTATTTATTTTTAATTATAATCAAAAGTATTCTATATGTACCAATTTTCGAAACAATATAAAGATTAACATAAATAACGTTGAAAATTTTAAACAATTCTGTTTTTAAACATGTACTGTTCCAATTGGAGATGAAAGAATTTTAAATCAGATTGTACTTTCATTGGCGTATATCTGAATTTTTGCTATTGAACTCTACCTAAAAAGACGTGACATTTTGACCAATGAATTTATAAATCAGAAGAAATATATTAATTTTAATAAAAAAAAATACATAATTATCAATTAGCAAATAATCAAAATATATATTTTACCGATAATCAAATTTTAAATTTGTAACTGAAAAACATTTGCCGATCGTGATTCACGTGTGAAATTACGCATCCATTGAAACAAGTCAAATCTTCCCTTTAGTTATCCGATTATCACGATCTGGACATATCAAAAAATATAATTTGCCAGTCACTGCTTGAACTTATAAAGAGCAAAGCGTATACACGTCACAAAGGCACACTTGTCGCGTCAGTTCGTAATGCATAACACAATTCAACGTCGCGTACGTGCAGCACGGGCGAATCGTCATGATAAGGACGTACCTGGACGCTAGGCGAAAAATGCGCATGCGCCAATTCGAAAGGGCCAATCAAAATAGAGCAGTGCCACAGTAGGGGCATTGGGGGGGCTCTTGGTGGCCTTGCGCGTTCTTCCGATTTCGCGAAAGCTGAAAGCACGTCCATTTTGTTAGTACATACGATCCCGGTTAGTCGACGCCGGTGCAAAGTATAATTCTCGTTTGCGACGAGTTCGTGTTACTCGAGTCGAGTAAGGGTTACAAAGCCAGTGGCTGTCTGTCGGCGGCGTTCGTAGATTCGTGTCTGTGTTTCGTAAGTACAGAGAGCGCAGCCGGCAAGCGTGAGAACCTACTTGTAGATACATCGTGCAAGAGGAATCGAGGAGGTGAAATCGTTGGAAAGAGAATCGTCGGTGCAGGGCCGCGAAACGCGTCGCGTACCCGGTTCGTCATTAGTTTTCGTTTTAGCAAGATGGCGGAACTACAGGGTACCCCGGTTGCCCAGGACGCCCTGTCCGTAGCTCAGTTAGAGCTCGGTGGAAATCCGAATGCCCTGGCGTTGCGTAGGCCATTTGATCCGGTGGCACATGATCTCGACGCGACCTTCCATCTTACGCGATTCGCCGACCTGAAAGGATGAGGGTGTAAGGTCCCTCAGGAGGTTCTCGGGAAACTCCTCGAGGGACTGCAGGCCGACGATGGTAGCGCACAAGATCATGAGCATGCCCATTTTATGCACATGGCCATTCCACGCATCGGTAAGTTTGATTTTATTGCGCGCCTTTGCGAGACAGCGCTACGCCGACATATTTGATCTTTTTTTTTTTTTTTACACAGGCGTCGTTAGTTTTCTTTTCTTGTGTATTTTTAGGTTTTATTAGTTGAGTTAACGCAAACATCTGTCCGAATGTTTCTCTATCGTTAAATTTTTTTTTTTTACACTTTCAAACAATTACGTTCGTTGAAGTAAAGAACTATTGTTGCAAATTTGAGTAACACGTGTATTATGAAAATTTTTCCCGGCTAAAATATTCTTTCACGTATGAATACCGCGTTTTATTTACGTGATTGTAAAAGGTTGTTACTCATTGTAGGTATTTTGTTTGTAAACAAATAATTTTATTAGATCTAGTAACAGAAACTGTTACCCAGGGCGCGAATATCAATAGGCAGCCCTGTCATTTTAGCAGCCATGTTATCGTCTCCCGCCCAATTTCTCCCACGCCACCGGAAATACTAGTGTTCTCAACTTGTATTTTAATGACACACGAAATCACAACACCGGAATTATTAATACACAAATGAGTTTTTTTTATTGATAGTATTGCATGTCAATTGAATTAAAGTGAATCTATAGAAAGAATATGAATCATACGAAAGTAACTAAGAAGTATTATTTTTTTTTTAGAAATACATAAATATTGAGAATTTTTTTTTTTTATTTCAGGCATTGGCATGGATTCCTCCGTGACTCCACTGAGGCATGGGGGGCTTAGTTTGGTACAAACTACAGACTTTTTCTACCCATTAGTCGATGATCCTTACATGATGGGTAAGACACATCATTAATATTTTGACAGATTATGCATTGTACATTTACATGAATTTCAGAATTCCTTTATTAAGGATAAAGTTTGTTTGATGGTATCCTGTTTAACCACTGCTATTGGAGTACTTTTTCAGGTAAAATTGCATGTGCAAATGTTATCAGCGATCTATATGCCATGGGTGTTACTGAGTGTGACAATATGCTGATGCTGTTGGGAGTCAGTACAAAAATGACCGAGAAGGAACGGGATGTTGTTGTTCCTTTAATCATGAGGGGATTCAAAGATTCTGCTTTGGAAGCTGGTACCACAGTGACAGGAGGTCAGACAGTTGTTAATCCTTGGTGTACGATAGGTGGTGTTGCTTCTACTGTTTGTCAACCAAATGAATACATTGTGTATGTGCCAATGAATAATTGATGTAACATAATATTATTTCTTTTTTAATAACTGTTTATGTTACAGACCGGACAATGCGGTTGTGGGTGATGTTCTTGTTTTGACAAAGCCACTTGGCACTCAAGTTGCTGTTAATGCTCACCAATGGTTAGATCAACCAGATCGTTGGAACAGAATCAAACTTGTGGTCAGTGAAGATGATGTGAGAAAAGCCTATCAAAGAGCAATGGACAGTATGGCCAGGCTCAACAGAATAGGTATGCAATAAATTACAACTTTGTATCTTTTATTAATACAAAAGCGGTAATTAATTCTTTTTTGTATTTTCAGCGGCTAGATTAATGCATAAATACAATGCTCATGGAGCAACAGATGTTACGGGCTTCGGCCTTTTAGGACACGCACAAAATCTGGCCAAACACCAGAAGAACGAAGTCTCTTTTGTTATTCATAATTTACCTGTTATCGCTAAAATGGCAGCTGTAGCAAAAGCATGCGGTAACATGTTCCAACTTCTTCAAGGTCATTCGGCGGAAACGAGCGGTGGGTTGCTCATTTGCCTACCTAGAGAACAGGTTTGTAATATTTTCTTTTTTCAAGTATTTTTTTTTTTTTCTTGTACCCTGCTAATACAGTAGAGTATATTATTCATCATTAAATACTTTAAAGAACGGCAGGAAAAGCAATAGAGAATTCCATGCCGATTTGCTATTGTAAGCATTTTGGCGACGTCGAATCTCTTACAATTATTTTTATTTCTTGTAATACAAAAGGCATCAATAAAATGTTTATTACTGAACAAATTCTTACGATTTACGAATAATTTTTAGGCCGCTGCGTATTGTAAAGATATCGAAAAGCAGGAAGGTTACCAAGCATGGATTATTGGTATCGTAGAGAAAGGAAACCGCACAGCTAGAATAATTGACAAACCACGAGTAATAGAAGTGCCAGCTAAAGAAAAAGATGGGGAACTTTGGTAAAAAATCAAAGACAGTGACGAAGTTTTTTCTATTTACTTTCATGTATTTAGGAGAAATCACATGCAACACAAAAAAAAGCATTTACATAGATCAACACTATTGTACCAGATTCAAAGCACTTACATGTGCACCATTACAATGGACTAATTGCATATTTTTATCGGATAAAAATTTCAACTATATACTTTTTTTTGTCCTATAGGTTAAAAGAATGAAATATTACAATACCGATTTATACTTATGTGTTATTTTTTATTGAAATTCAGTTCCAAGTAATTTAGGAAACGTTTTCTATTTTTTCTCGTTTTTTTAATATTTGTTGAAATCTAAAAATATTTCGCAATAAAACATAAAATGTTCATAACAGTTGATAATTATGAACTCTCTTACTGAAAAGAATTCGATACAAAAAAGAAAAACATGAAAAGGCAATAAAGTATAAAAAAAAAACAGGTTTTAATAGCTTATCTTTTTTTTTTAAGATTTAAGACTTAATTAAGTATAGACCCAGGTAGCACTAAGAACAGACTAAGCTTGAAGCATTTGATCAAACATGCGATATGTTGAGTGACATTTGGGTGCTTAGTGTTAATAAAGAATGTTATGGTACACATAAATGATAGCTCGTGATTACAAAGATTTATAAATATATTTTAAAGGGGTACACAATATTGCCGAGAAGAAAGAAGCGGTTTTAACGATATATTGTACATTACGTCGACTTTACGGATTTAAAAGAAACATTGAAATCATAGTTATAGAGATGCAAATTTGTAAACAGAGATAAACCACCCCGTAGTACACAATGATAGGCTTTCACAAGCCAACAAGATTTTCACGATTTGTAATTTTGATCTATTGTTACATAGAATGCGTAAGATGTCCAAACGAAAAGAAGGCCTTCTCTAGTTTTCTCGTTACATACGCTTTTGAAAATAATTATAAAAGAAATCGAGCACAGGCCCTAATGTTGTATTACTTTTTCATATGAATAAAGTGCTACTTTGTCAATAAAAATAGTACGTTATTTTTATTAAGGTCTCAAGAAAATCTTTACATATTCAAAGTGAAAGAAATATAATTTTTAGCATGCAAAGATTAAAAAACGATTTATATTTATCTCAGATATATTTGTACGTACACATGCTCATCGTACAAGGTAGCCAACAACCGAACCAGAAAAGACTAGACCCTTTCATTCATTGGTTAATCAGTTATCTAACAATCCGGCAACTAGTCGCCATCGTGCCTCACAGGTCACTGTTATAGATAGAGTAACGCGTTATATTTTGAAGAACTGTAGTTGCCATAACATTCTCGCGTAAATCGACGACGAGAGACAATTAAACCAGAAGTTCGACGTAAATATTTGACAAGTTTTTTTTATTATCGTGTACCTTTAAAGTGACGATTTAATGGTAGCACTATCCACGTGGTGTTTCAAGGCTGCGGCCTTCAGGGCCGTGATATTAGGTGCCCCTGCTTCCGGTAAAGGTACTATGTCAGCCAGAATTGTTGAACATTTTAAGATGACTCACATTTCAAGTGGTGATAAACTACGACTTCATATGAAGTCGAATACCGGTACGTTTTAAACCATAAATCGTTCGCTGTGTTATTTAAATCATCCTAAAGAATGATGGAACTTCTATCACTCATTCTTATTTCTTCAGATTAAAATTTTCATTTTAATCCATACCATTTGTTTTTTTGAAGTTGATTTGTCGAAAACATTTTTTGATTTTAAGTATATTCGTGACATATACATATGTATATTTTTCGACCTTAAAAGTTATGTTTAGGATGCTTTATTTGACGAAGTGCAGTTAAAAAAACACGTTTCTCAATATTCTTTAACCAAGTTAAAATTATTCTTGTTTAATTCGTTAATGATATTCTATGTATTCGTACTTGTTTGCGAGCTAAATTTACGCGATAGTTATTGAATGAAAGGCATACTACTCATTTATAAATATTCATCTAAATATTTAGATTCGTGCTCGGAATTACATTACACTATCATTTATTGCTAGACAGCATGGATTTTTGTCGATCTGTTATTGTTTCAAATTCCACACGTAACTCAATAAGTTATTAATACAAGTACAGGAAATTAATCTAATGCTTAAGTATACATTTCCTTATCATTCTATATAATCAAGCCAATATACGTAGATTTATATTATCGAATTAGTCTAATTAACATGCCTTACTCATCTGCGTTAGCGTCAGACGTTTTTAAACATTTTTATGAATGAGTTTCTAATTTTTAATTCTATAAAAAATTGTCGCATAGATTATTTTACATATTCATTTGATAATCAAGTAAAATTAATACAATTAATACAATTTTGCGTCAAATTTCTTAGAAGTACGTCTACAAAAACAGCTATTTGGACATGATTAGATTTTTTACAGTGCATTTTATATTTTTATGTATTCAATATCACGTTATCAGGCTATTTGTTTGTACAATGAGGAAATACTGAACTTTTTATTACACAAATTCAAATAATTCTCGGAACAAATATCTCCCATTAATACAATTATCGGTCGTCTCAAAGTCCAATGTATGACTATATTAATGGAACAATAATAACGCTTTGCACGAAATGATAAATGTAATCGAAATGTAATTGTTTTAATAATATAGAACTGGGCAAAGCAGTCTCGAATTACGTGCTATCCGGTAAATTCGTACCTGATGATATAATGATTTCAATGATAAAGAAAGAAATCGAATCGGTTGCTGATCAAAATTGGTTATTAGATGGTAAGTAATTCAACGGGAATTGAAATTCCCGTCTTAAAAACACCGCTTACATTGACCAATTGTTGGGCAATATTCAATACAATTTTAAGAATTATAGTGGAAATATATATTTTATTATTATTTGCAATTCCCGATGTACCTATTACTTTATTTTAATATTTTTATTCAACAAGTTGTTACTTGTTAAAGTAGATGATTAATTATTAATTAACAGCAATTAAATTCTTTGTTTAATTATTAAATTAATCGCGGTTTTTACGATTAATTCATTTTAATTGTAATAATTAATCAAACTCAATCGAATTCAAAGTTTTAATCGATCGATATCCGATAGATGTGGATTGTGAACATACAATAATATACTATACGCGGGCAGATAAATTCAAATATTTGGCATTGTTATAGGATTTCCAAGAACATTAATACAGGCGGAAAAGCTGCAAAAAATGCATTCAGTGAATCTGGTTCTTTACCTCGATGTCCCCGTTAAAGTGATATTAGATCGTGTGCAAAATAGATGGGTTCATTTGCCCAGTGGAAGAGTCTATAATGTCGGGTTCAATAGTCCAAAAGTACCGGTAAGTTGGAACAGAAACGTTGACTGGTACTCAAATATATCGTTGGCAATATGCCTAGTAAATCTTCATAATTAGATTTTCCTTTCGATTTACTAACCGATGAATCTTTTTTTAGACGACTTTTTTTATCTTTGAAACTTTTTACTATGTCCAAAACTATTGAATGACTAATAATTTGGTTTTTAACAGGGCAAGGATGACGTGACTGGCGAGCCTTTAAGTAAAAGAGACGATGATAAGGTTGAAATTGTAAAAGAAAGACTGGAGAGGTATTCGAATGCTACTAAACCTATTTTAGAATTTTATAGTGATTTAGGTTTATTAAATACTTTTCGAGGTAACACTACTAATGAACTATGGCCAAATGTTAAGGAGACCCTTACCAAATATCTGTCGTGTTCTTAATTTACTTAGGCATATTAATATTTTATAACAAAATACACATCAATTAGTGCATATGTTTTTAATCAATAGTAATTACATGCTTCCATTTGTGCTGTGTAAGATATCAATATCAATTTACATGCGCACAAATTGATGAATTGAATGGATGCACACAAATTGTGGAAATATATTTTTCTGCAACTTATATATATGTACATATATAAAAGTTACTGTGTATATATACAATTAACAGATTATTTGAATATTTTGGATGAATACAGTATACATCAATTTTATTAACTTTTATCGACAACTTTTACTTATTTTGTACATACCCGATCTGATTTTTTATATTTGTACATATTCTTTGTATCGACACGCAAGATTTGATGGAAGTATAATTTTATGAATATTCATTAACAAAGCAAGCAATTGCAACTGATTTATGTTTCACTTGTCATGCTTCGTATATATCGATTGTAAAACGATGTTGATATAAAGGGATCAAAGAAGCTAAAGAATGATTCTAAATCAGTGGAATTTGTTGAGCCTTTTATGACACAAGTGTATTAAGACATATGTATATTCCGTTTCAAAGTGTACTAATGATCATAAACAGGTAATAAATATTAAAACATGATTTTTTTAATCGTTTTTCCATATTTATTTTTAACTGTACTGATATAAGAATTTCAACAACTTTTAGTTGTGTACAGATCTTATCAATATGAGTATAATATACCTTATATATCATGCTCACATTTTCTTTTCATTCGAAAATTAAGTCATTCCTCAGTAATAACAATGATTTAATGTCATACATGCTTATTAAATACGTGTTTCTCTTTCACAACATAAAACATTATGTCAAACGCAGTGATGAGCTGTGGGAACTTAGTATAAGTTCATTACAACTGTTGAAGGAAAATCAGAATATTATGTAAATAAATAAGTTAAAGTTGCATCGTAGAAAAAAGAAATTTAAATTAATTGAGGTTTAAATATTACAACAGGTAGATATGGTTGAATATGTAATGCGTAACACTGATGATTGCATAAACATCTTTAACTAAAAGAAAATATACTCAAGTTGTATCTTGCGAGGAATCTAATATTACTGCGTCACAAAATAAGTTATGTCAGGAACATTTTCATAAGGAATTAAGAAATTTTTATAAAAATTACTCTTCATAGCAAAATCATCAACTTACGATCTACGCAAGTAAGATTTTCTCGACGTAATTATCCATGAAAAAGAATAAATATCTTCTTGGTTATGATAATTCTAAGTCATATACTAAATTACTCTACTTAATAATAATTTTCGAGATCAGTAAACAAGATAAAAAAAAAATTGTGCAATAACTGGAATATGAAAGCCGCGTTCTAAATTATGATCACAGAATGATGTATAGATAATGCTAATTCGGATCTATAAATGCATTATCACGAATGAAAAATAGTCGATATATCGATTCACGTCAGTCGTTCAACGAGTATGTTGAGATCTAAAGATCATATTGCGGCATAAATTTATTTTAAAAATTAATATTCAACTCCCTAATATGCAACATTGTCATCTAAAGTCATCAATCGATTTTTTCTTATACATATATGGACGAATGAACGGAGAATTATAATTAATGACAAACATTATCATCCTTCTCCAGGAATTATCCATGAATGCTTTTTTAAGTACATGATATCTTTTTTTTTTTTTTTTAATCTATAATTAACATTTCATTGTACCAGTTCGAATTCTTCGCATTCGTCAAGGTCGTCATCGTAAGTTCCATTACCTGTAAAAGAGGTAGTAGAGGGAATTATATTTTCTGCAATTTCAATTTTTCGATGGAGATCTTTCCCGCTCCCTTCACAAAATAAAAACATCGGATAATTGACTTTTTCATCTTCCGGCACCAAGTACTGCAATATCAAAAATATATTGTTGTATTTGCAAATGATCATAATATACGGATGGGAATAATCATACATACAGAGGGAGCAATCTCCATAAAGTTTGTAAATTGCAATTTGTTATGAAAATAAAATCCCACACAACAGCTAGGATCCATTTTTGATATTAACATTTTCCTTGGTGAAGTACAATGAAAACTCGTCAAAGGGAAATTATCTTTTAATACATCAACAGTTTCTTGACAATAATGCGGATCTAGATTAATTAATTTATCTTCCTGGAAACCAATAAAATAAAGCGAATGCCGAGGTCGACCACCGATTACACCAATACAGGTGTCTAGTGTAAGTAAGTGTGTTAAGCAAGATGCATAAATAGGATTTAATTTGTCAGCACCAAGTCTTAAAGGTACAAAGAGTATAAGAGATTTCCACTTGCCATCTGGCATTTGGCATACATTTTTTACATCTTGCAGATAAACTATAAGAAAATATTATAAATTAGCCTCAGGAATATATGACAAATTTCCATCATTAACATTATATGCTACATCACCTGCACAATCTTGAGCAACATAAACGGCCAAGTTACTGAATATTGGATGTTGTTTTGCTGCTTGCTCTACTGCTTGGCATAAAAGATGAGCTACAGAAGTAGGTCCATACCAATCTCCTGCACGTTTTCCCCACAGAGCACCCAAAGAAACAAGTGTATGTATAGAAAATGGAGATATACTATGTGGTAGATCTCCAAATGATTTAATTATTAACCTGTGATTATATTCATCCAATTTTTGTTGTTCTGTTTTTATTGGTTGATCTAACTGCCACTGCCATTCTGTAAGAAAAATTTCTGTATTATTATTCTATAAATAAAATATAAGTATAATATACCAAATTAATAATCATTATATCATAATTTATGATTAAAATTTGTAAAAAAAAATAAATGCCTCTTCCAAGAAAATGGCAGACCAGCGCTTGTGCCAACATCATTTGACCACTACGTAGCATACATCCCCAACCACAATCGGTGGTGAATGTAGAACCATTCAGTATAGGAAATTCCCTTCTATATGTTAACCAAAGGCGTGATGTGAAATCCTTCTTAAATTCTTCTATACCATCCTCGAAACTAATAGCATCCATAGCTAAAGATATTTCACTTCCAGTGTCTAAAGTTTTCTCCGCTTCGGAAGCCTTTTCCAAAAACTCTTCCGGTTTCTTGCGATAAATTTTTCCAAGTAACCATACTGGAGATTCTTTCGAGAAGTTTGGTTTAACTACCTTAATGGTCCAGCCTTCGAAAGAATCAACTATCAATGAGATTCGCAGAAACACATACCTATATTATAATCGATTGTGAAATTGTTTCACACTAACCATATTTAACATTATTCCACATAGACAATAATTTTGTTTTGACTTTGCTGTCAACCTCTGTAGTAACACTAGAATCATCCACAGGCAATCCATTATTTGTAGTAGCTAGTTGTATATGTGGAACACGATCTGTGGTAATCATTCCAGAAAATAATCCTATTGTACTGTTGGTAAAACCTCCTAAGAACAAAGTAAGCTTTGATCAATGATTCGTATGTCTAAAATGTACTCTTCTCTTTATGATTGATTATATGAACAAGGTTGCTTGGTAAACGAGGAAGGAACGAGCAAGGTCGCTAAAAGCCATGATAACAAAGATGTTAGTAATAAAAGAAGCAAGAGCAACAGAAAGAAATTGTAACTGCAAATGGGAAGGGGGGGAGGAGGGGGACGTGGATCCATAACAGGAAATTCTTGCGCGTGATTGACTCGCGTTAAATTTACTCACTTACCTAACCTTTCCCTGGAGGGTTGCACCTGTCCATTCATGCCCAACAAGTAAATTTTTGAAAGCATACACTCCAATACATTTAAGTACCGTACAGAAAGGCAATTACATTTTTGTATAAATACGATCACGGTTATGTGGACATCGCAAACATCCACAGTTTTATCGCATTCCGTATGAACAACTGATTGCTATTGTCACAGAATTTAATATAATTATGCATTGGCTGATGCAGGCGCCAAACTTAACGCAAAGCCCATTACCAGCCCACTGTTAACTTAATGCTTCATTTCCTTCGAAACACTAACACTAACTTCGTGAAACTTCGCTGTACGAGAATGATTTGTTATCCTCAACGATAGGATATTATTATTCCAAACTCGAGGATAAATGAAACAAATCGCAGGTCGTAAAGCAAACGAAATCAGAAACAGTACAAAGATATCCGAGCCACCGACAGGAAGAGACGCGTGTTTACAAAGAACATTGTGAAATTTAAAGCGTCCGTTAAGAACATTGCCAGCGCCGTATCGCGGCAAAATCGAACACTATGCGAGACCATACAGGAGTACATCGGCAGTATGCAGAAATCGCGCTGATCAGGATCTAATTTCGAAATGGCGGTATCTTATCGAGGAGTGTACACACTCGAGGAAGCTTCAATTGCTCTAGCAAATAGTGTGAGATCGATCATTCTTTTCTTTCCGGTATACGGAAATTGATTTATACCTTAGAATTTAACTGATCTGTTGTATTTTGTGAGTTGTTAAAAATTACTTAAAAAATAAATCTGCAACTTACTAGAGTATCTGAAACAGATTCACGTCTTTGTATACGATCATATTTTCTTTTTGCATCAATAAAATTTAACTGTCGTTCATTTAAAATTTATATTTATATTTTTATAGTTTTATGAAAAATAATTTTTAAACTTATTTAAAAATATATTTGCAACTTGCTAGAAATAATTTAATACTGGCGATCATAACAGTTTCGTCGCTTTCTGTTTAATCATTTCATATTCACGGTACTGCAAACCGAATGTTAGTTCGTTCTTAAAGTGGATCGCCATTTCATTAATTAATGCTTCCCGTTTCGAGAGGCTGACGAACGTTTTTTGCCGGTTTTATCCGCTTTTGAAAAAAACCTCGACAACGGGACGGACCGTTTATTGAATAAAAATCAAACAAGAGCTGGAGAGTGTTTAACTTATTCGAATTATTAATTAAGAGTTTGCCTCTCTCGTTGGAAATCTCCTTTATGTTCTACTGACGCAAAGAGTTCACGAGTTAAAAAGGAGAGAACAGAGAGATGAAGAATCGTAACTTCATTGGTTCAACATGAATTCTGTAGTTTTTCCAGTCTCATCTTTCTCTGCGCTCTTTCTAATTAATTACCAAAATTTCCAATTGATTTCAAAAAATGTTGAAACAAAAGCTGTCACTTGTGAGATACCCGAGTAAACGAAACTTGTCGCGAGATACCCGGATGCACGAAATAGTTGAAACTACATATTTATTATTTCTACTCATATTACACAGATGTCTATATTGTGATTTATATTTTAGCGATAAATAATAAAAACAATAAAGTACTCACTTTTTGTACTAATAATCTTTATAACTACTAGAGCTTTTATAACTACTTTCAACTACTAGAGTTGTTAGTATTTTAGTTAGTAATAATTTTTGTAAAAATACTAACAACTGTAGTTGTTCTGGCGCAGAACAGAACCCTCCGAGGCGTCAGTCAGGTCAATTCCTACAAAGCCTCGTCCCTGCCGAAAATTGCCAGATGTGCTAACAACCTAAGGACACTTTCTCTGGCCTTGGAGGGAAAAATAGTACGTGGAAAGGCTCGGTAGGGCATAAACAAAGCCTAGTCTAGGAAACAAGACGCCTTGGCCGGTTCCAGAAAGTCG